ACCATTATGTGAATAATATCCTTTAAAAATTTTATAAATGAAACTATGATAGTTTTATTTTCATTTTCAATTTTACTTCAGAGCCTGCAGCTCGCGAGCCGCAGTTTGCTGACCCCTGGCAACTCTTCCATCTCAAAAGTTTGCCGACCTCTGAGCTAGACTTTAGGTGATTCTCAATGATGGTTGTTCTGTAGTTTAGTTGTAATTTTGATGTGATCATGGAAGGAGGCGAGCACAGCATTTTTCTACCCCAAAGGTATCAAAGTTTGAACTTGTTTTTTTTTTTTAAGTGACAAAAGGGACTTTGCAGATATGACTAAGTTAAGGATCTTTGGTTGGGGAGGGTATCCTGGATTGTCCAAGTGAGCACAGTGGGAACACAAGGGTCCTTAAAAGGTGGAAGAGAGAAGCACAAGAGACAGTGTCATAGTGATGTAGCAGTGGAAAATCCCAACAACCATTGCTGGTCTTATGTTGCTGGCATTGACATAGAGTGAGCCATGATCCAAGGAATGAGGCCAACCTCTAGGAGTTGGAAAATACAATGAAACAGAGTCTCTTTTTGTTAATCAAGGAAGGAAAACCCTCATTATCCAAGACCAGAGGGGGCAGCTTAAATGACAAGAGATACTTGTTGGAGGTTGAGATTCAGATATATTATATATATCCCCAAAATGTGATAGTCCAAAACTCTTAGGTTTTTTTTTTTTTTTAATCCTACAGGTAAAGAAGTTTCATCCACTTCTAATCAGGTAATAAAAAAATATTACATTTTCTGATAAATGTTAAAATATAGATGGCTTTATAAACATAGCTATAGGTCTTCTTTTATTTGCGATTTCTGAATGCATTGATCAATGTTTTCAATATTTTGAATCATAATCTTAGTAATTTTAATGCATAAATGGAAAGAAATAAACATTTAAAAATATTTCTTACTTTTTTATTTAGATGATTAGAAAGTTCTTGTTGTCCCAAATCTACTGAAGTCTATTATTTTAATTTTCAAAACTATTATAACAAAAATAAATGAAATCAAATAAATACACACTTATAATCTGACCACCATAAAACATCAATTTTTTCTGGCTTTCCACATTTCTTTCCAATCTTTATGTCCATGAATTAGCATTTATATTTATAAACATGTTGGATATCAACAATCGTATAAAAAATGTTTATTTTAAAAAATATTACATCACAAACATTTTATTGATTTAATTATTATATAGTATTTAAAATTTTTTTCATGATGTATGCAATTGAAAGTTTATTTAATAACCATATATGTGATCCTTTTTACCCTCATCTACCACCCCACCCCCCTTACCCTCTGGTAACCACTAAACTATTGTCTGTGTCTATAAGTTTTTGTTTCTTCATTTGTTTGTCTTGTTCCTTTGTTGTTTTCAGTTTTATATACCACATATCAGTGAAATCATATGGTTCTCTACTTTTTCTGTCTGACTTATTTTGCTTAGCATAATAATCTCAAGATCCATTCATGTTGTCACAATTTAAACTCTAAATTTTATTAATTGTATTTTATCTTACAAATTTATGGTTATGTGACTTGACTAATTACTTATTGAGTTCTAATTGTTGCATATATTCTGTCCCAATATGTGTGACCTAAAGTGTACAACTGCTTTTCTTTAGATATTCAGAGAGATAATACTATCCTTCTTTCCACACCAGGGTTTGAAGAAAGGGCTTTGGGTACCTGTAGTGTAAGATCACCATCACAAAAGAAGGGAGGGGTGCAGCACTGAGTTGAAATTTGATGTATGATTCTGGATTCTTTATTTCTTTCTTCTTTGTGTTTAGCAGGAAAATGAGAATGGCAGTGGCTCTGGAGAGGTGTGCTACACTGTCATCAGTCACAGCTCCTGTCGGAGGCCTTCCTTGAGCTCCAATGAAAATGGTTATGAGAACATCGACTCTTGTGCAAAGAGAGTGAGATCTTTTAAAGAAGGGTCAGAAACAGAATACGCCCTCCTCAAGACTACTTGCATTACTAGGCCTCCTTCCTGCACCCCTGAGCATGATTATGAACTCGTGCTTCCCTACTAGAACCTCATGCCTCATCATCTTTCAGTAACAAAGATGGTACAGAATAGTGACCTCTGGGCAAGTCTCTCTCAGCAGTTCATAAAACATTAATTTCTGGCCAGAGTTTAGAAATGATATCCTTTTACTCTATTGCCTGGGGAAACTCTTAAACATGGCATCTCTGTGGTTTGCATGAAGCCATATAAAATGACATAATGATATAAAGTATTCTACATCTTTTGGTTTGTCAAGTTGGAGGACATTGAGATGGTGGGGGAAACCATATTTGTCAATAAGCATCTACAAATATTTGACCTAAAATATTCAATTCCAACCATGCTGTCCAAATTTCAAATGCCAATATTCTCATTTCTAATTATTTGTTTTAGTTTTAAAATGTAATCCACTCAATGAACTTTTAAAATATAAGACCAGTGGTGAGCCCCATTGCTAGCCTGATATTTAATTCAATTTCACCTTCTATATATTTTTGAAATTTTCCATGTATTTGGGATTTTACTTGCAGTAGCAATTCAAAAATCGATAGTTTTTGAGACGTGCCTGGCACCCCGTCAGCAGTAACCTGATCCCCATGGAAGCTTGGGATGGCCACTGGGATCGCTTGGCCCCCAGAATAGGGCCTGGCAGCAGCAACCCCTCGCGCTCAGCAGGAGGANCAGCTCCAGGTTGAGCTGTTGTTCAGCATCTTAGCTGTGGAGGGCAGTGTCACTGGCCCTCATATGTGGGGTCCGAACCGGGGCCCTCTGGCGTCCCAAGCCAGTTCTTAACCATCGCGCCACTCGGCTGGCCCGGAAATAGTAATATTGTCCAATAATTTACTTTGCTTTTTTTTGTTTCATTTAAATATATATACTTTTTTATTGTTCAATTACAGTTGGCATACAATGTTATATTAGTTTCAGGTGCACAACATAGTGATTAGTCATTTATATAACATATGTGGTGGTCACCCTGATAAATCCAGTACTCATCTGACACTACACATAGTTATTACTATACTACTGACTATATTCCCTATGCTATACTCTTAATCCCCATGACTACTTTATAACTGCCAATTTATACCTCTTAATCTCCTCCCCCCCTTTATAAATCCCTCCAATCCCCTCCCACATCGAAATGCTGTCTGTATCTATGAGCTTGTTTCTGGTTTGATTTTTCACTTATCCTCTTCTCTAGATTCTACATATAAGAGAAATCATATGACATTTGTCTTTCTCTGTCTGACTTACTCCACTCAGCACAATACCCTCTAGGTCCATCCAGGTTGTTGCAGATAGCAAGTTCTCACTCTTTGTATGACTAATATCCTGTTGCATATATGTACTTCATCTTCTTTATCCATTCATCCATTGAGGGACACCCATATTGCCTCCAGATCTTGGCTATTGTAAATAATGCTGCAGTAAACATATGGATGTACATGTGTTTTCAAAGTATTGTTTTGGGTTTTTTCCAATAAATACTCAGAAGTGGGATTACTGGGTCCTTCTTTGTCTCCTGTTATACCCTTTGTTTTAAAGTCTATTTTGTCTGGTATAAATATTGCTACCCCAGCTTTTGTTTGTTTGTCTGTTTCCATTTTCGTGAAATATCTTCTTCCATCCCTTTACTTTCAGTCTTTGTGTGTCTTTAGATCTGAAATGAATCTCTTGTAGGTGGCATATGTAAGGAACTTCTTTTCTAACTCATTGAACAACCCTATGTCTTCTGACTGGAGCATTCAATCCACTTACATTTAAAGTAGTTGTTGATAGATATGTAGTTATTGCCATTTTAGTATTCATATTATTCATATTTTTTAATCTTTCTTCTTCTTCTTCTTCTACTTCTTCCCCTTCTTCTTCTTCTTCTCCTTCTTCTTCTTCTTCTTCTTCTTCTTCTTCTTCTTCTTCTTCTTCAAAAAGTCCCTCTAACATTCCTTGTCATACTGATTTGGTGTCAATGAACTCCTTTAGCTTTTTATTGTCTGAGAAGCTCTTTATCTGTCCTTTGATTCTAAATGATAGGTTTGCTGGGTAGAGTAATCTTGGTTGTAGGTCCTTGCTTTTCACCATTTTGACTATTTTGGGCCAAGCCCTTCTGGCCTGCAAAGTTTCTACGGAGAAATCAGCTGACAGTCTTATGGAAGCTCCCTTGTAGGTAACTAACTGTTTTTCTCTTGCTGTTTTAAGATTCCCTCTTTGTCTTTAACCTTTGGCATTTTAATTTATGATGTGTCTTAGTGTTGGCCTCTTTGGATTCATCTTATTTGCAACTCTGTACTTCCTAGCCTCAAGTGTCTGTTTACTTCATTTGGTTAAGGAAATTTTCAGTCATTATCTCTTCAAATAGGCTTTCAATCTCTTGCCTCCTCTCTTCTCTTTCTGATTTCCCAGTGATGCAAATGTTGTTACATTTGATATTGTCCCAGAGGCCCCTCAAACTATCCTGTTTTTTGTTTTTTGTTTTGCTGTCTGAGTGGGTGTTTTCTGCTACCTTATCTTCCAAATTGCTGATTTGTCCCTCTGCTTCATCTAATCTACTGTCTATATCTTCTAATGTATTCTTCATTTCAGTTATTGTAATCTTCATTTCTAACTGGCTCTTTTTTATGTTTTTTATTTCCATTTTTATGTTTGTTAGCTCTTTGTTGATGTTCTCACTGAGATCATTGTGTTTCCTTATAACCAATGTTTTGAACTTTGCATCTGGTAGATTGCTTTTTTCATTTTGTTTAGCTCTTTTTCTGCAACTTTGTTCTGTTCTTTTATTTGCGACATGTTTCTTTGTGTCCCCATTTTGGTTGCCTCCCTGTGTTTGTTTCTATGTATTAGGTAGAGATGCTATGTCTCCCTGTCTTAGAAGAGTGGCCTTATGTAGTAGGTGTTCTGTGGGACCCAGTAGTGCAGTCTCTTTGGTCACCAGAGGCGGGGTGCTCCAGGTGTGTCCCTTGTGTGGGTTGTGTGTGCCCTCCTGTTGTAGTTGAGCCTTGGTTGCTGTTTGCAGGTCAATGAGGAGGATTGACCCTCAGGCTGATTGGTTGTGAAAACTGGTCATGACTACAATGAAGAAGCTGCTGTGCAGCGGCTGACCCTACAGAGCAGGATTCACTTTAGCAGGGCTTTGGTGCCTGCCCACTCTGCCCTTTGTGTGTGTTGTCTGTGGAGGTGGCCTGGTGGATCTCTGGCACAGTTGGAAGCCAGCCACTGGCAATGTTGGCCTTGGGGCTTCCTGCAAGGGGCCCTGCCACAGGCCAAGTTTAGCCTCCACCTGTGCCCTTCCTGGGGCTACTTGGTTGAGCCACAAAGCAATTCACAGATGTCTTCTACTTGTGCTGGGATTAAAGGTGCCTGGGAGAAGCTAAGCTGGAAACTGAGTTCAGCTGCCACTAGTGCCAGGCTTGGGGCTGCTTAGCAAGAGGTACAGAGCATGCTGAGGTCAGATGCTGCTTATTTGAGGTTTGTGAACATTTGAGACTTTTTAGGAAAGTATGCAGCATGAGCCAAGGTAAGCCATTGTATGGAAAAGTCACTGGAAGCAGCTTGAGGGGACTTGCAAGTTGGGTGTGACAGGGTCTCAGGGAATCACCAGGGTGGGTTGAAATATATTAGCCAGGTTGATGGAGACTCAGATATTGTGCTGCCTGCATGCTTCTGCACACTGGGTTGAGAGAGGACTTAAAAAAAGAACTACAGCTTCTGCCACCACTTTTGTCTGAAAGAAAGCTGCCCCTCTAGCCCTCTCCCTGAAGCCAGACACCTCAGTTCCTCCCCATATGTCCCTGGCACCTTTCAAGCTGTTGCCTCAACATTGGAGCTCAGAGCAAGTAAGTGTGTTATTGAGTAAGTCCGTGCATGGGCCTTTAAAAGAAACACCTGGAGCTCCAGCTGCCCTCCATCTCCCTCAGCTGCAGTGTCTGCTTGGTTTCACAGTCAGAAGTTATAGGTACTTCTCTCTCTGGCACAGGAACCCTGTACCAGGGAGTCTGGTGTGGACTGGGACCCCTCGCTCCTCATGAGGGGGTGTTTGCAGCTGAGATACCCTTCTTAATTTTTAACCGCCACATGCTGGTGTGGGAGCAGCCTGTTCTGTGTCTGCCACTCTTACCACTCTCTACGTGGCTTTTTCTGTATATGCTTAGCTATAGGACTTCTGTTCAGCTAGACCAGGGGTCAGCAAACTGCGGCTCATGAGCCACATGCAGCTCTTTGGGTACATTCCATTTCAAAAGTTTGCTGACCCTTGGAAGAACAAATCCTGTCCCTCACAATAATTTAAAAATTATTTGAGAGCCATATATATATTTTTTACATAATCACCATTATGTGAATAATATCCTTTAAAAATTTTATAAATGAAACTATGATAGTTTTATTTTCATTTTCAATTTTACTTCAGANGACAGCAACTTGTCTGTTCCCCTTCCCCCAATTCCCCAGCGCTGTTCCCATCCCCCAGTTCCCCAATAAAAATCTTTAAAAAAAAAGAAATAAGCCAGGCAGAGAAAGACACATACCATATGGTTTCATTTATATGTGGAATCTAAAAAAAACACAACACAAACAAACAAAATTACTATTCTTATAGGTATTTAACGTCAGCAGGATTTGTAGTGGTGCCTTCTTGCTCATTTCTAACACTATTTCTATGTGTGTGTGTGTGTGTGTGTGTGTGTGAGAGAGAGAGAGAGAGAGAGAGAGAGAGAGAGAGAGAGAGAGAGAGTTCATGTTCTTTCCACCCATTATTTGATTAATCAGTTTTACCAGAATTCATAAATATTTTTATGGAATCAAATTTTATACTTTATTAATCCTCTAGAACATCAGAACATCTCTGTCTCTGAGCTTAACTTCAACTGATATATGGCTTATTTAAATTCTAAGAGGCTCACAAAATATTGTTCTGCTTTTACAGGAAGAGGAGATGGAACTTGATTTGGGTGAGGTTATTCTGAAATAGTTCAGACTACTAACCCCTGAAAAACTTCACTGGGGCACAGGAACCTTCATTTATCCTGGCCAAGCTATGTGTTTAAAGTCACATAGGGTATCCTCTTTTTCCTGTTCACCAGGATCTATCATCCTTGTGTTCTCCATATTGTAGACCATTATTATGTTCTGTGGATGTATGGAATGATTAGTGTTCCTGCAAAGCAGATTTTGACAGAGAGACAGAAATTGATAAAACCATTGTAGCTGTGCTGGATTCTCTCCATGTGAAATCAAATGCATGTTAAATATCTACCATTGTATGAATTTAGTCAAATAAACAGACTTCATGCAACAGTAAATATGACTAAAATTGTCATCTAGTTAAATTTGAAAAATGTCCAAGACCCAGCCATGTTTTGCCCACGTCAAAAAGGGAAATTAAATGGGGAAGTGATTGAAATCACCACTGCGTCTTTTCAATGTTCAAATACATAACTTCCTAATTTCCTTAGGGAGGCTATCTTGCTGTTAGTTTGTTTCTTTGTTTACATCCCATTTGGGCCAAATTACAAGAGCAGGTTAAAAGAATCAACATGATGGAGTCAACCAAGTGGCTCA